GGAGGGTTGGGGGGGGGGGGGGTAGTTTCATTGTAGGTCTGATCTCTTCTTGGTCAGAAGAAGAAGGGCTCATTTGTTTGGCCAAGTTGGGTTTTTCTTTTTATACCCAACAGGCAGCAGCCAAACTCTTGCTAAACTGTAGGTAAAGTAATCCTCATTCCACTGTTTGATTATTCTAAATATCATAAAGATATGACACATTGGTTACCTGGAAAGCAGGACCACCTTCGGCCGAGTTCATGATGCTCCACCCAGCCATGAACGCAAAGAGGAATAGTCTCCTGAATATAATGTCCATAGGAGGCATCTCCACAAAATTCAGAAGATTCTGGATCCACGGAGGAGATTCCTCGACTTTCTTCTTCAGTCTTGTTTTCAGATTGATTTTGGTCTTCCTCCTTCTGACAAAGCTCGACATTAGCAGCTTCTCAAAAGCGGCTTCTATCGACTCCTCGCTTCTCTCGTGTCCAGCATACTGCTCCAAGAGAAAGTTACGAGATGCCCAGATTTCTTCCTCGGAAGCATATGGACTTATTCCAAGGCGTTTGTACGGGTCCCAAACTTTTAACCGGGGGAATGTCGGGGTGTTGCCTACATATTTTCATGAGAAAACCAAACATGCAAATAAATAGGACGAGATGATACGATTTAAGATATCAGTGATCATGATCAACAATTAAATCAAAAAAAGCTCAACACTACAAAGAATATAAAACATATGGTAGCATCTCCCATATCCTTCGACATTCATTTCTGTAGCCAACAAAACCGGTAAGAGGCTTATAACAACGAGCATATAATAGCATCTCCCACATCCAAAATTGCCGGTTTCTTTATAACCCAAAACCCATTCAATAACTTGTGAAATAAGGCCTTCACCATTACTTCACAAATCAAGCTACAGGGCACAAATCAACAAAGCTTAAGAAGAAGAAGATGACAGCAAAGAAAGACAAGGAGCCACATTATCTATGGATATATTTATGGTCCACTGCAAATCTCATTGAAGAGCTCAACATTTGCCATACACAACGACGTTACTATTGGCATCTTCAAACCAGAGGGACTTCGTACGTACACATTCATTCAATTGCTCTCTCTCGCTCGCTCGCTCCACACAAGATGAGAACCATCCGGAAATTGAAAAACCAATCCATGGACATCGACAAAATATAGATGACGAATTTCACAAAGAGAGCGGAATAGTCAATGGAGCAAGCAATTACCTCCATATGGAGAATCGACTGCGCACCTAGGGCTCTTGAAGCTTCTAGAAGCATTCCGAAACGGGACAGAGCTGAAACACGAATAACGATACAACGCAAATCCCTAAAATTATTACTCATCAACACAAACCCTAAAACCCAAATTCAGGTTCATAGTAAACAATCCAAAAAATGTTTCCACCATCCGATTCAAAATCCCTAAGAACAAGCGGAGAGAGAGAGAGTTACAGATTGTTTGGGGCGATGAACGGAGAGGATACAGTAGAGCCGGAGAGAAGAAGAGATGAAGACATGGCTCACGGAGCTCCAAGACCCTAATCTCCGTCGGAGCAAACCGACGCCGTTTTCCGTCTTCCAAATGCTTTTGGGGGGGCTCCGAGAGGAACAGGGAAGGAACCGACCAACAATGGCGGCTTATTTCGACATTATTATTATCCAAACTTAAAAAAAACACACTTTGCTATCTTACGCCGATGCATGTATTGTACATATAGTAGCGAGAATCCCCACTTCACTTATATTACGTTTAGCTCCCCAAAATTCTTATTTTATTAAAGTTTCACCCTTATTTCTTATAATCACCATGTAACGCCCTCACGATTGACATCAATAAACTCGCATTTTTCACAGCTATGGCGTGTACTCATTCTTGGTCGCAAACTATGCAAAAAATCATACACAACAAACATTCACTAAATTTTAGAATCCCTTTCCTAGAACGGAAGAACCAAGTTCGGACGAAAGAAGAATGAGTGGTGTTTTTCTGTGACTAAAACGGCAGGTAGTCCAGAACAGGCTTGTTTATTTATGTGGGCTTGATGGAGCAACGAAGACCAACTTTAAATGGGCCTAGGCCTGGGCCTGGATGCTGAAGACAAGTTTTTCCCGACCGAAGCAATAATATGAATAGTGTACATTATGTATGTAATGGGTAAAAAAATGAAAAATATGAAAAAAGTGGGAGGGGGAAACTACGTGAAACTGCATCTTCTTCTCCTGAGTGATGTTCAGTCGGAGCCAGGAAGAAACCTGGTTCCGGTTTTAGTGCCGAAGGCCGTGGAGCCAGAACGGATGATCCGAGAAGGAGACAGGACCTGTGCGAAGGAGAAGTTGTAAGAATCCGTACCCAACCTGCTCTGCAGCCATCCCTTGCTCCCCGAGAACCCATCCATCACTATCCAGCAGTTGTTGAACCCTAGATTCTTTAGCGTTCTTGCTACTACTTTCGCCGAATCCGAGTACCTTATCGATCCATATCACACGCATTTTTTATAAAATAAAAAAAAAAGAAGAAGAAAAAGAATGAGACCCTTTTGATTCTTGATGCGATCAATGTTGAGAGAGAGAGAGAGAGAGAGAGAGGGAACTCACGAGTCCATGATGATGAGGTTGGAGCCTTTGTTGACTCTCTTGAGGTATGAAATCTTGAGAGCTGCTATCTCTGCTTCCACCCTTTTCGAGTTCCTCACAATCCCTCTCACCTTGTTCGGTAGTTCTTCGGTTCTGATATTCGGTTTTAATCAGTGTTAAATGGTTCATTACCAAGAAAGGCATCATCCCCAAGTTATCTTTCCTAATGCATGAACTCAAATCTCTTCAAATACAGAATTTGGACAACTGGGTCATAATTTTTTTTTGAACTTACGGAATGGCAATCATTCTGTTCTTGGCGCTCGAAGGGAGACGAGGGATCCCAGCCTTGTCCTTGTCCTTTTCAGATCTTATATCCACCAGGAAATAGTTCTTGGTGCATAGAAAATCCAGCGTTTGAGCCGGGGTGAGATCACCTTCAATAACAACACAATATACACACGATCATAAAAATGTCCACCCCTTTGACAGATGAACATGGAGGAACATTACATACCGCAGGCAGTACTTAACACGATAACTTTCACATAATATTTACGTTTCCGAAAATTTTCGTTAAGAAAAAAGGGAAGGAGATAGGTAGAAAATACCCACACCTTTGTAACCGCGAAGGTTAAAAGAGAGAACCGACCAGACGGGAGGGACTAAGAGGTAAGCGAGAAAAGCTGCTCCAACAGCAACGACAATGGAGTTTGGATCGGCCGAAGAGATTGTCTCGATAGTTGTCGAGGCGATGGGCTTAGCATCTTCTATCACCTTTGTTGTCTGCTGTGCCACATCTGTCACTGTCTGCATCATTACAAAACACACAAAGCTTGTTCTGTCATAGCCTGTTCTTTCCATGGACAGCAAATCAAGCCTTTCAAAAACTTGCTTTCTGCATAATTTATGAGATGATTCTCTAATCCTGAGAATATACTCTGATAAAAAGACATAAGCAGGTGACCTTTGCGGCGGTAAGGACAGGCTGAGCGTCAATGCCGGAGCTCTGAATTACTTCCTGGGCTTTCTTAGAGGCCTCGGAGATGGCTGGAGAAGCGAGCTTCAGAGCCTCCTCCCCGGCTTGCTTTGCGATGGGCAATGCGGTTTCTATGGCTGGTTTAAGTGCTTCTCCGACAACTTGGAGAACTCGCTGTGTTAAGTCCAGGAAACTCGAACCTGCTTCTTGAACTTGATCGATTGTCTTCTCCACCTGTAATAAGAAAGAAACAGCAGTTTCGTGTAACCAGAGGTTGATTTAGAAACTGTAAAAGGAGCTGACATTTGAGATTCTGCAGGCAGTTAGGGCTTAGCCATGAACGGCTAAAGTCATGATGATGATGGTCAAAACATGCGTAATAGAATATGATCTACAATCTGAAATACAAAACCTAGATGCATGATCACGAGACAATATCAAACATGAAAACTTCCGAAGAGAGGGATTCCAAATTCAAGGAAGAAACAGGAGTTGAACGGAGAAGAGAAAAAGAAGAAATTACTTCAGTGAGAGAGGAGACAATCTGGTCCTTGGCAATGGAAACAGCCTTAGCTTCATTGGGAGGAGAGGAGAAGAGAGACAAGAGAGAGATGGAGGTCGATGTCGGGAGAGAGACAGAGATATGCTTCACTCTGTTCTTGCATAAGGAAGAATGCGAAGAAGTAGTTGTAGTAGAAGAAGAAGAAGAAGAAGGAATAGACAATCTTGCAGATACTGAAGACTTGAGAGCCATCTCCACCACCATAGCCAAGCTTTCTCTGCCTTCGGCGAGACACAGAGAGAGAGAGAGAGACTCGGAGCTTTTTGTGTTGTCTGAAATTCTACGGCCTTTTTTATTGTTTTTTTAATTTGAATTAAAAAAAAAGCGAAAAAGGAGGAAGAAAATAAAAGAGAAGTTTATGGTGATGGGGTGGTATTGAGATGATGGTTTCTGATTGGTCAGATAATCCTACGTGGCAATTACGTGCAATCTTAGCCACCCGTGCCAATCCTCTTGTTTCCTCCACATTAGTCGCTATTTTTTAGATGACAAGCCTTCATTCAATTACTATATCACGAATACAAGCATTTATTAAATAAAACTTTTTAACCAGATCCCCTCGTTATGGTGAAAGACTTGGAGTTTCTGGATGTTGGATATTCCAAATTAATATTAAAGAAATTTAAGATCTTCTGGATTTGATTGACTCGTAAACCCAATCAATCCATGTAATATAACATATTCTTTCATGTCAATTGATTTATAGTCATGGAATCACGTGATTCTTAACATTTTCGATACTTTAACATTCATCAAATTAACATAATTTTCTATATATTCTCATTATTTTATTTTTCTTCTTTCGAATAATGAAAACGTAATACGATATAATATAATGATAACATACTATACAGTACATAATACATACACATACATTTAAGATAATATTCCAATTACATATTGTAGAATAAATAATACAAATTTATTTATTTTTACACCTGAATTCTTCTTGAATTTCCGATCCCAACCTATGGGCCTTAGGTTTGTAGTATTCACAGATGTTAGATTGTAGAGTTGAAAGGATTTTTACTCACTTAACCCATAATATTAATAACATTAATGTGTTAAACCCATTAAAACTATTTACTTAATAAAAACCCAAACAGTCAATAGAAATAGAATTATAAATCAATTGGATTAAACCGTTTAACCCAACCCATTTGAAATTTCTAGTGTTGGGATAGCTAACCAATCCTTAACCCATTAAAACAAGGAGAATAACATTATTTCCTCGTGTTCTTCTAATACGGTCCTTTTCTTTTGGGGAGGGGAATCTAAGACAAAGATGTGAACTCACTTGTTTTCTTGCCAAATTGGAGAACGGAATCATTATATGATACCCACAATCCTAATTTCTAAAAGAGTGAATCCGCCCCCTCTTCTGCCAAATATGGAAAATCGGCTAACAGAAGACCACACGCGTGTCTTCTATGCCAAAATGATGCCATGAAACTGAAACAGACATGAACTTCTAGCAAGTGAACTGGTTCACTTTTCCATGGGATGGGATGGACATCCACCCTTCTGTCCATCTCAAAGCATATAACCAGCAGCCAACTAAAATTCGCACGAGCATTTAGTGTTCAAAGAATCAAGAAAAGGGCCGCTTAAATCCACATCTCACAAGGCCGGGAAAGGAAGTGACACATCAAGGGCCAACACCAAGAGATTGGTGGAAAACTTTGACAAAGAGAAATCATCAAACTTGGTGCCAATGCATCAATCAAGAACAGAACCTGCGAATTGATTTATATCAAAGGAGAAGACGAAATTATCAAAGCATAGTCAACCTCATAATCATCATAGTTATAATCAGAACCAGCGTTCAAAATTCAAATCAGCTTAAGAGAACAGAAGGAAGGGCATGATCAACAGAATCAAAAGTTGTCATCAGAGTGCAGATCCCCGATCTAAGATTAGAACTCATGCATCTGTGATCTACGAACACAAGTTGGATTGGCAAACCAACAATCAGAAACTGGAGAAAAAAAAAGTTGATTTTTTTTTTACCAAAGACAAGTGCCAATACCTTCTGGCTTCTACAAATTGCAAAAAAAAAAAATCCCCCTTTTCAATCTGCTTCATTGTCATCCATTTTTTTCTTCCAAACAATAAGTTAAAAAAACACTCGGTCAGACTGCTGAGGAAAATTCCAAATGCTAACTTTGTTTGTTTTCCCTCACTTTCTCAGCAACCAAACAGGCTCAGCGCATGGGAAACACAAATTCAGATTACCCTTTTCCCGGAGTTGTTCCCAAACCAAATTCCTAAGTTCTAAAGCCGTGTAGGCAGCTGAGGACATTTTCCAGTCTCCAAATCCGAACATATCGATTTTCCTTTCACTTTACCCGGACTTTTCTCAGTAACCAAACAGATTCGCGGGGGGCAAGCGCTGGATGCAGAGGTTTATCGATCGATTCGTGCCTTTGATGTATTCTGAACATCAAATTCCCATGAAGAGATCGATGAACCGCTGCCTCCAGCGACTTCCCCATTCCAGAGAGTAAGAGAAAAAATCACGGAAGAAAAAATAGGAAAAAATATCCGCATCAAGCAACGAAAATCACAGATCTGAGAACTCGGCAATAAGAAAAACAAAGTACTTGAAATCAAACCTGGATCGGAAGTTGAATCTCCATTGCCTAAAACCTTCACGACAAACACAAAAAGGACAGATACATAGATTCATACACGCATACACACAAGAGAGATGCAGAGACATATCCACAAGCGCTCATACATATATACCTATAGAGAGGCGTGCATACAAATATGCATGTACGAATGACAGGAAGGAGGGTGGAATCGGAGATTTTCAAAAAGCACGAATCAACAGAGAGAGAGAGAGAGAAAAGAGTAACGAAGTTTGAACCAGGAATCTGTCGTCACCATTTTTACCCTTTTGCCGTACATTCTCTCTCTCTCTTTGTATCCTTTTGGCAAACAAAGTGGATGGGCGGATGGATGGATGGATCGAGGCAAATGGGCGCTTGCTAATTTATTTAATAGTCAGTGCTCGAGTAAATAATAATTTTATTTACGAGTTTTGATTTTCCGCACTTTATGCCAAAATATCTTTTACGAGAAATAAACTTCCGAAGGCTCTTTTTTTTTTTTGGTACAATGCGATATTGTAACGAAATGAATCCCGTTCAAAACACATAAGGGTTCACAACCCCACAAAAGCAAATTAAGAAACTCACTACAACCAGAGACACTATAAATAAATAAAACCCAAAATATAAAAAATAACAAAATAAAACCATAATCTAACAATACTCCCTCTCCAAATGGTCGAAGAGAGAGCCTTGGCCGTTAACTAGGGGTGGACATTTTTACCCGAGACCCGCGGGTTTCCGGGTACCCTATCTCACGGGTACCCGGTTTGTATTGTCTTATGAGTTAACGAGATACAAGCCGGGTTTTTATCTCAACAAACCCGAGTTTCGGGTTACGAGTTCGAGTTTCAATATATTTTTCCGGGTTATCTCATGGGTACCGAAAAAGTATAAAATTACAAAAATAACCCTTATTTTTAATATATTTACATAAATACCTATTCCTAAATCTAACCCTAACCCTAACCCTAATTATCCCAACTCTCATTCTCTCACATTTTCGGCGCCTCTCTCACTCTCACTCTCACTCTCAGTCTCTCTTTTCGATTATAGCCTCTATCACTCTCAATCTCATCTCTCAGGCTCTCACACTTTCTGATCCGTCCGTCATCGCCTGTCGCCTGAGGCTCTGAGCTCCATCGTCGCCGTGTTCTCTGTTCGTCCGCCTCCATCACTCTCGTCGCCTGAGGCTCTGATCTCCATCTTCGCCGTTCTCTGTTCGTCCGCCTCCATCACTCTCTTTCTCTCCCTCGGTTCGGCTGCTCCCGTCTCCATCGTCTCTGCTTTGCTCCGCCTCTGTCTTCGTCGTCTCTGGCTTTGTTCAGCCTCCTTTTCTCAGCCGTCTCCGTTCTCTTTCTCTCCCTCGTTTCTACTGCCTCCGTCTCCATATGTTTAAGAATTATGGGTTGTAATTTGGATGAAAATATTGTACAGGTTTTAGGTTTAGTTATATTTTGCAATATAATTACGTACATGTTTTTAAAAGTGAGTACGGGTTCGGGTCCCGCGGATACCCGATCTCGTGTCTCGGATACCCGGATCTCGGGTACCCGAACCTTGTGAGACTGAGATCGAGATAAGACAATAAAAAACCCGACGAGACTGAGATCGAGATAAAGATGTCTTAAAACGTCCGGGTACCCGCCCGTGCCCAGCCCTACCGTTAACCCGACTTTCGCCGTAAAATTGTCCTCCACATTGTCGTGGATGACAGACTACACGTCCATGTCGTCATGTGGAGCTACCACCAATGGTGCGTGGCGGCCTCATTGGTCCCACCTGCCATTCTTCCCTCGGCTTAAATCGTGTCGCCGCCCTCGTCTAGGGTTATGGTTGTCGGTCTAGAGACGTCCCTGTCATCCGTCGGTGAAGCCAAGGTTGTAGATAGCTTGCGACTTTATGCTAACGCTCTGTAGTGTTCGCTGCTCCTTCCTTTTGCAGGATTGTGTGCTCTTTGGATTGTAGTAGCCACGGGTTCCACACAGTCGATCGAATGGTCACGACCTGGGAGCTAGAGTACCGGCCCCGAATTTCCGGAACCCAAAGTGGTTTGTTATCCCTTGTTCACCGACCTGGGAGCTTGCCTCTGCATCGCAATGTTGCCTGAATTTGTGCAGGACGTCCGGTTTTAGCCATCCGGCTTTAACCGAGGCTCGGTTCGAGCGATTCTCGCAAGACTTCCTCCGATTCGACTGGACTAATAACTGTGTTTGACACGACCATCGGTGCGATGACCCTAGCCACCGTCCATAAAATCAGAAATATTTCTGCTTTCTCACTCCAGCCCAGTTCTTTAAAAGACTGAGGAGTCCAGCCTCTATTTTTCATTGAGTTCATAGACAATAGAATTTTACCCTCTTTCGATCCAACCTTATCGTAATACCCGGCAGAAAATCCTCCAGTAAAATGCCCCATGAAAGCTTCCCTAACCTGTGGATGTAAAACTCAGAATATAAACACCAATCAATGATTAAAAAAAATCCAACACATGAACACTTATTCCACTAAAATCAAGGGGAAAAAAACCAGGTCACAATGAAAGCCGCCCGTACTGGAACCTAGAAAGAAGATTTCTATGCAATATGATGCAAGCACATAGTACTATGGGCTAGCTCCAAAAATCATTAATTGATAGCCAATTCTGCAGTTCACAATCCCTGTAAGGCATCAATTACAACGGTCCCATTCTCCATCTCTTCTCTTCAGTTTCTATGCAACTCAAACCAGTTTTTGAAAAGCATGTGCACTTAGATTGCCGCAGCCTAGCTTAATCCCACTACGAATCGAATTTTGTCTAGCTCTTAGAGGTTCCACTACGGAAGCAAATCAACTCACCGCAGTTTGGTTCATCAGCGAAACTTCAGAAACTAGAGAACCAGAACACCAAACCACTGTCATGTCCCAAACTCGTAAATGTTCCAACTGTCTGGAATTCAATTCAGTCCAAAGAAATTGAGAAGCGAGAGAGGCGAAAACACTGAACCATCGCAGCGTCTCGACATCACTCTCAGATCACTTGCTTTCCCAGTTCATCCGCGACCAAGCAGACAAAAATAAGATCAAACCTGAGCTCTTTGTTCCACGAAGAGAGGGCTCCCATATTCTCTGAAGCCTCCGCGATCGCTTTCCTTTTACGGCTCGCGATTTCTTCCTCGCGCTCAGTCGGCGTACCGAAGAAGACGAAATCCTCCTCGTCCGATCCCATCTTCTTCCCCAACAACGCGAAATTAGCAAAAACCATCAATTTCGAGGTTCCAAATCACAGGACAGCTAGGGTTTCGAGACTCGAAATTGGTTTTCTTCACTCATTCTCTAGAATTTGGAGTCGCAGAGACGCAATAGTAAAGTGATCCGATCGGAGTCGGGTCAAGCCCGTGCCCGACTCTGATTTGGGTCTTTGGGCCCTTTATTAGACTTGACTCGGTCTTAATAAATAGCCCACTTCTTCAGGATCTAAAATCTATCTTCACGCGCCGCTCTCTGACTTTGGGAAAAAAGGTGGATTTCACGCGCTTTTGCGTCCTCGGTTTTTGCCCTAATCGCAGAGAGAGCGGAGGAGAGAGAAAATCCTCCGACAAGATTCCATATAATCCGACCGACTGCTTGTCCCCTGATCTCGCCGTGACTCGGTTGACTCGCCGTTTCCCCGACTTTGATTCGTCGTTTCTCTGATTCGACCCGTTTGACTCGGTGAGTCGGTATCCGGTTCCCCATATCTGGTTTCTCGCTTTCTTCTTCCCCATTTTATGCGATACGTGATTGTGTATGCGCCGATCGGTCTGTATGTATAGGTTTCGTTCCTGGGTACCATTACGTGTGTTGGTTAAACTGTGATTTCTGAAGATTTCAACGATGGACCCGATGGATATAGTTGGGAAGTCCAAGGAGGATGCTTCGCTTCCAAAAGGTTAGGCCCTTTCGCCCTTCTTTCAATCCATCTATTCGTGAATTGATAAGCATTTGTTCATCGATGGATGGCTGTAGCACGTTTCTTCCCGTTTTAGACTTTGTAATCCACATTTATTAATCGATCAATCTTATTATGAGCTCCTTGAAGGATATTGAATCGGTTTTGTAACCTAATTCGATCCATAGGTTTGGGTTTCTCGATGCAATTATGAGAAGAAAGTATCCGAAACTTCTTGGAGACATTCATGGTGAAATTTATGAAATTCATAAAAGGTTGATTAACCTTTTTCACGAATAAAAGCGTGTGCTGAATCTCTGTCCTGCTTTAGTAGTATAATGCTATGTTGAGTGAACAGAGAAGTATGTGATTGTTGTTCTTCGTGTAAGGATATCGCTGTCTTGTTGTTTTATTCTCGTCGTGTTATCGAACAATATTTTTGAGTTGTTGTTCTGTTTTTTCTCAGCTACCATGACTAAAATTATAAAGGAGATGTTACCACAGGATGTCCGTGTTGCTAGAGATGCTCAAGATCTTCTGATAGAATGTTGCGTAGGTAAGATATCATCCTTCAAATGTCCCAAATTTTTTAAATGGGCTCGTAGATAATCTCTATATGGATTTGTAGTTTACTGAAAGGCATAGTGTTTTCGTTCTCGGCTGGCATATGTGGATGTGAGTTCTTTGTTCAGTAGCTGATCTCAGGACTTATCAGCTTTTATCTGCTGGCTTGTAAAGCATTTAGTCTTGTGATTCATTCTAATTCTGGAATTTTGATCAACACTCTCTGCAGAGTTTATAAATCTCGTTTCCTCGGAGTCTAATGAAGTTTGTAACAAAGAGGACAGACGGACAATTGCACCCGAGCATGTCCTCAGGGCGCTACAGGTTCGTTTTTACGTTAAGATAATCGAATTCAGATCCTCATGTAACATTAAGTACCTGGCTAAGACTCATGACTTTGTTACATAAACAGGATCTTGGTTTCGGAGAATACATCGAGGAAGTTTATGCTGCGTACGAGCAACATAAGTTTGAAACTATGGTACTCATCTACCACTACCTCTCCTGCATTTATTCCTCGTTTGCAAACACTCGGGAAACTGATTAAAACCGATGTTTCCACCAATTCAGCAGAGGACTCACAGAGAGGTGGGAAGTTTAACAGCAGGGCTGAAATGACGGAGGAAGAAGCAGCAGCCGAGCAACAACGTATGTTTGCTGAAGCTCGTGCGAGGATGAATGGTAATGCTGCAGTTCCTCAACCCGAGCAATCAGAAACCGACCAGAGAAATCTGCAGAGCTAATCAGAACCACAAGCCCTTAAATTTTCTCGGGACCGATAGGCAAAACCATCCTTTGACACTTTAACATTTCCTGTAAGTGCAAAAAACACTTCCCCTTGTGTTGATATATGCACTTCTACATATAACTTAGATTTGTGTTTTGTCTTTGAAAAAAAAAAAATCACTGTGATTCAGATGTAATTAGTAAGCATGTCTTATCTCATTCCTTTTGTCCTTTCTTGTGTTTGCCCTCCTTTTGTCTTGTAACTTCCATAGCTTACTGTGTTAACAGATCTAGTTGTTCAATGTTATGGTATCCTATGCTCAATTCGACCCCTTTTCTTATAATATGATGATGATGATGATGATGATGATGATGAAACTATATAAGTATTTGTAGTATGACCTCATTGGCCTGAGCTTTGATCAAATGTCTGGTTTGGCCGACAAGCTTTGGTCATATATGTGAAAGTGTACTGAAACCAAGCATTGATGTTCATAAATTGGTGTGTTGGATCTTTGTTTAATTGTTTTAATTAGAATTTAGTGAGTAGGGCCATCATATGTGTGAGCATGGAGCCCCTTGCTTTTATTATACGTGTTTAATTAATAGACCCAATTCTGTCCTCTGTTTGAAACCAAACATTTGTCTAAATTTTACCAATTTAGAAGCTTAAACTCCACTAGTCATACACTATTTGTATATTGGGAAGCCATTGTTGTCTTGTAATCATTAGATTATGAATACATCATTGGAAAGAAAAGGAGAAAAAAAAATAGAAATGCTACTGTTTTTCTTTTCATTTGATTTTTTTGTTAACTGTTTTAATTTGATTTTTGATGGAGGCATGTGGGTATATTATAACATCTATACTAGCTATTGTATGGTAAATTATTGAGAGTTTGAATTTATAATGTTATTGCATTTATTATTTAGCTGGGTTTGAATTTAATTATAATGCAGACGTTATATTTTCTATAAAAACAAGATTTTTTATCAAGATAAATTACATTATCTACATTCAACAGCAATATTGTTTTCATTTTAAAAAAAATAATAATAAAGAAAACATGTATCACATGATCGCATTTCTCTCGTAATTTTTCATAATTCCCAAAAATATTGTTACTTCGTGTTTGGACAAATTCAAGCTAAAAGTCTTCTTGAATCGGCGGAGTCAATTAAACACATTCTATATAAAACAAAACATTAATAATAATAGTAATGTGAATATATATATATATATACACAAAAAAAAGCATGAGAATTATGATGTCAATAAAACGCAAAACCGGTTCGTTAACGGGAAAGGAAGAACAAGAAGGTGGTGGGGTCGGAAAAAGAGGAATGAATAATGACACGTCTCTGTACGCAGGCAGGGTTTGGTGTAGACTCTGCACCCGACAACGAGACGATCAGCATATATACGTACGCACGTACGTATGTATACGCGCCTCTCATATCATTACAAATGTATATCATGTATGTATCCTACATTCACATACATATACAACAATTATACAAAAAAAATATTTTATATTTTTGTTATACGATGCGAATCAGAGATTTAGCATATGCAAACGTGCCCATTCCTCACAGTAGTTTCTGTCTTACTCTTGATGTTCTGTTTTTTTTTTCCTCCTCTGTGTCGCTTTTACTGTTGATATTACACGTAAGATAAAAAAAAAACATGTTGTAAATAACTATAATATATTATTCTAATTTAAATAAATATTTTTTTTCGTTAGTGATTTACTGTCCAATCTGAGTGATAGAAACTATATTCTAGATAATATATTGTGTAAATAAATCGTATTTATTTTAGTGAGTTGATGGATGTAGGGCTAACAAATCATTAGGCCTGTTGTTGTTTATAATTAAATGGATTTTTTTTATACGGGTGACTCAGTTTTTTAAAATTAATTAATTAATTAATTAATTAATTTTCGAAGCTTTTACTGTATAAAGATTAAAGATTGAAGTCAAAAAAAAAAATTAGTCAAACAAAATACAACTCTCGAAGTTTCTGCCCCACATGGAAAGCGAAAGAACACTCCCATTGTCCCTTCAAGATTCCTTTCTTTTGTCATTTCCTGAATTTCTCAACCAAAAAAAAAAAACATTTCACAGAACAAAACTGCTTTAGTTTTCCTAAAAGAAGCAATATCAGACAAAACACATATATAAAAATAAAATAAAATAAATAAGTAAATATTCCCTCGAGAGTTTAGAACTGTTTTCGATTTCTTCCTCGGGTTACGGAAGTGCCCATGTCTCCGTTAGTATCTGCTTCTTCATGTGGATTCAAGCATATACGATTGCCCCCCCCCATATATATATATATATGCATATATACACGTTAATATCCTCGCACGGATATAGTAACAGTTTCTCACACATGTTAAATAATACGTATACATACATGACAAAAGAAAATTAGCTGCAATAGAATCCATGATCGCGGACCATTAATAGATAATACGCACACTTAAGCATGATTTTAGTGGTGGAAAAAAAAGGCGTACATAATTTAATGCTAACCCTCATTTTTCTTCTTTTGTTTTAATATTGTCTTCCCAACCGGGTTCGTGGGCCTCTCTCTCTCTCTCTCTCTCTCTCTCTCTCTTTCTGACTACAACAACAACACCAACACACACCCACAAAAGAGTATAATCCTCAAAGAGACCAAACCCAGAAAAATTCACCCATCTCTCTCTCTCTCTCTCTCTCTCTCTCTCTCTGGAGCTCTGTCAATGGCGAGAGGAACATCGCAGGAGTTCTCCTCCAAGAGACACCATAGCTTCCACTGGACTCGAAAAGTTGGCTCAGACGAAAACGACGACGTTTCCTCCCCACCCGACCACCACCGCCCTAAACCCGCTCCCAAACACACCTCCTCCTCCTCCGCCGTAACTCCCAAGAGGAAACTCCAATCCGTCGCCGTTTCTCGTCTCCGCTCCGTCATCGCCTCCCTCTCCCGGACCCGACCCGGATCCCAATCCGGGCTTGGTTCCCGGGTCGTGGGCACCCTCTTCGGATCCCGACGCGGGCACGTCCACTTCGCCATCCAGAAGGACTCGACCTCTCCTCCGGCGTTCCTCGTCGAGCTCGCCACTCCGATCAGCGGGCTGGTGAAGGAAATGGCCTCGGGGCTCGTCAGAATCGCACTGGAGTGCAGCAAGCCGAACGAAGTAGACGCCGGAGGAGGAGCTGAAAAGACGAGATTGCCCTCGCGGCGGCTCGTGGAGGAGCCGCTGTGGAGAACGTACTGCAACGGGAAGAAGAGCGGGTTCGCCACGAGGAGGGAATGCGGCGAGAAGGAGACGAAGGTCTTGAAGGCCCTCGAGATGATCTCCATGGGCGCCGGAGTACTTCCGGAGCCGGGGGATTCCGCCGGCGGAGGAGGGGAAGTGGGTTCCGGCGCCGGCGATGTGATGTACATGAGGGCAAAGTTCGAGAGAATCGTGGGTTCGAGAGATTCCGAAGCTTTCTACATGATGAATCCTGACAGCAATGGAGCACCTGAGCTCAGTATCTATCTACTCAGAATCTGACGACGAAGACGACGAACAAAGCCTCTGAGCGAGGTAGAAGGTTCCGGGTTTTAATTAGTCAACAGTTTCGGGGATTTGTAGGGGCAATTATGTCTAAATGCCTTAATGCAGAAAATGGAAGCCTCCAAAATCCTATCTTTTTATACACGTGGATTTGTATTCGGTTAAACCATAATTATCGAAATGATTGTATTGGATCGAACCAAAATGTTAGAGATTTCAAGAGATATAGAAAAAAGATGGGTTAGGAGGTTTAATTAATTAAGTCTTAATTTGGTATATGGTTTGGCGTGTGAGACGATCAGCATATATACGTACGCACGTACGTATTATTTTGAACCCACAAATCTTTTCATTTTTAAAAATTGTTATCTATTTATTTACGGTAACCATAATTTGGTTGTGAAATTGTTATTTAAAAATGTGGGCATTGTTATGCTTTGATCCAATAATAGTACTTTGACCGTATGGACCCATACATTGCAAAATAATGGGGGCACAAAGTGTACTCATTAAACGTTGTTTGTTCGTAGGCTATTTGCAATATATTTCTATTTTGCATTTTAAATTTTTTGGTCTTACGGGCATTTTAAAGCCATTTATACCAACAGTTACACTCGTAACAATATTTTTTATTTTTCAATTATTTTTCGTCATAAATCTAACTTTTATGCGGGCAGTGGGAACAGATGAAATTACAGTTTCAACCCCACAGATATACGGTCGACGCAGAGGCAAATACGTCTGGGTATTATTGTCATTTCGCAGTAATTGTTGACGGGGTCCTTTGTTACTGTTCATACGTCTCTTTTTCCCAAGTTTCATGGCTTTTCTATTTCACGCATTAGAAAACAAAGAAAAGATGCAGAATATCCAAAACTATGAAATGTTGAACATATAGACATGAAAATATATATATATTTTTTATTAAAAAAATTAATATTCGGAATTTCATTTTCATATATAAATTCATGTATAATTTTGGAAAATATCAAACCAATCATGAAGCCGAGGTTCATCTCGATAAAGAAAAAAGAAGAAGAGGTTTTTACATTATTCTTTATATTCACAAAGTTAATATCCGATCAAGATCACATTGCACGATAGTCGAGGAACGTGTCTTCTTCTTTTTTCTCCAGATAATTTTCGTAATAATCAATAAATTGTTTTTCAAATTCATGAATTTTTGCAAAAGAAACAAAGGCTTGTGCATAGAGATTTTTTTTAAAAAAAAAAAAGAGCCAGGGAATAAAAAAAAGGGAGCATTTGGATTATTTTACATCATATAAAAGTTAGTATTGCCTAAAATTATAATATATATTAGTTTTTATAATAACATATATTGTCTAAAATCATCCGAAAATCCAAATCCCATCTCAATGTATTTGAATAATTAGAAGATGCGTCTTTTTAAATTTATCGCAAAATATATATTTTCTATATTTATTTATAAATTTATTACTAAAATTTACATGATTAAATTTTTACTTATATTTGATAAATATATACGAAAAAACGTATTCGGTTAATTTTTAAAAATTAAATTCAAATAATGATTTTTTATACAGTTCTGAGTTGGGTTTGTAACGGATTATCCGGTCTATATAAGAGGATCCATATATGAGAAAAGCGAAATTACATTTTATTAGTGAATATTATTTTATGAACAAAATATATTCTATTTAATTTTAAAATTAATCAAAAAAATTATGTAAAACCGTAAATATTTAGTTTGCGCGATGCACGCGAGTTATTATCTAGTTTTTATAAAACGATGGTATATTTATCATTCACTCTTTTTTTTAAAAAATGATAAATTATATAAAAAGAAAAGAAAAAAACAATTATTGATATTCCGTTGGTATATTTTGGAGAGGCGTGGCTTCAATAATTATGTAATTGATGGCAATAGACCTTAGCCTGTGTGCGTACGTACCAATAGCAGTTATAGCCCTTTATTTCAGTTCCTCGTATCGAAATTATCAAATTTCCAGTACCGAAAATATATTAAAATTCAGATTATTTAATAGTTGATTTGATTTGATTTGACTCAATTATATGGAAAAAAACATAATAAAAGTTAAAATCTACTGAAGTTTGAGATGCCCACATTTTATAAAACGAAATATAGTGAGAAAGATTTCAATTTAAAATTTAAAATCTACAAAATTTATTATCTAAAGTTATTAAAAAGTGAATATAATTCCAAAGAATGTTAATATTTGCCCCTCTTTAATGTTTTATTAACCTTTTTCCCAACCCTACCATTGACGGCTGCGTAAAAAAAGAAAAGAGAGAGAGAGAGATGATGATGCTTTTGCTTTTTTATAAAGAGCCTCCCTTAGCCGTTTCTCTCATTATTATTATTTTTACTTTATGTTTATATAATTCGATTTTTGTCTTCAAATCCTTAATCGGAAAGAAATCGATATTTTAATATTGGAAGCTGGCTATGATATTTTTCTTTATTGTATTTTCGTATAAATAGAAAAAAAATATGTCTAACGCGATTTAGATATACAAAATATTGTATATTCTATGAAAATATTGGATAAATTGGTTATTAACTAATCGTATTTATAGTACTCTTAAATATTTCAAGTTTCTTTAAAATAATTTCGAAATATGTTTTGCCATAATAAAACAACATATAATAATATCTAATAATTTAAAAGATTGAACAAAATATATGCTATTTTATTATCCCAATCCAATTGCGTGGGATTTATAGTTCTAATACTATATATTTATATTTTATCTATTTTCAAAATGTCACGTAGATATTTATAAATAATATACTTTGCAAATACGGAAAATATACCATCTATGCGTAACTAAATTTATAAATTTTCAGATTATCAATCATATTTTCATTATCACAGTTTTATACGGAAAATATACCATATACGATGTAACTAAATTGGGTTGTCTTATATATATAATATATGATGAAGGTAAAAGGATAGCAAGCATAACTTATTAACGTGTTACATGTTGTAAGCGTATGATGATGTTTAATATGGAAATTATGTGCCAACGATTGTATGGTGACCGCATTCCAAAATTAGATAATTCCCTTCCAATTTCGTGCTATTAAATATGTATTTTATGTAGACAAAATAAAACTCTAAAAAATAAAATACATGTGCAAATTGATTTCAGCTCTTTTTTAAAAAAATTTGGTATTGTAGCCGTCATGATGACTACAATTAAAAAAAAAATCATTGTTAGATTGAGTGACGGGTAGATAGTGCGGGGGGGGGGGGGGGGGGGAGATGATTATTTTAAAAGTAATGGACCATATTTAATAATATAGTAAAGGTTTAAGGGTACGTCTCATAATTATATAAATTTACATTTACGTTTCATCTTGTTGGGCCGCGCAGTAATTTATTTGAATTGGGCCGAGAAAGAGACATACTACCCATACTTAAAAGGCCCTTTTGTTGTCTTCATGTCTCCAAAACCATGGCCATTTTCCGGCATTGGTGTAATTTATACGCACATTAATTCCAACATTATCTTTAATAATCGGAGTAAAAAAGAGTTATCCAAAAGAGATATATATAAATAAATATGACAAAGTGGAGATGCGGGGTATCGATCCCCGTACCTCTCGCATGCTAAGCGAGCGCTCTACCATCTGAGCTACATCCCCTTTTTGATTTTGTACTTGTGTAATTTTAGATGAGTTATAAAAACTGACTAAATTGAATTTTCAGATAAGAGTCAGTGATATGTATCCAGAGGCTGAGAGAACGTCGCTTCCGTACATCAATGGCGTCTCTCCAACTCTGCCACTGCTCCTCCACTGGCCCTTCTCTCTCCCCTCGCTTCATACCCCGACGCCTCACCGTTAAAGCCTCTGCTTCTTCTTCTTCACCTCCTCCTCCTTCTCCTCCTTCGTCTTCGTCGTTGTCGTTCTATCGGAGGCAACTTCTGTGCCAATCTGCGGCGATATCTCTGTCCCTGTATCCCCTAATCGGACCGGTGAATGAAGCTAAGTCGGTGGAACAGCTCTCCGAATGGGAAAGAGGGTACCTCCCCATCGATCCCGGCGTTGTTCTTCTCGACATTGCTTTCGTTCCTGATGATCCCAACCACGGTAATTTCTTCTTTCTCCTCTTGAATTCAAGCTCATTCTTATAAATTCAAGTGTCATTCCCTGACATTTTACTCTCGGAACGATCAAGGATTTTTGCTGGGGACGAGGCAGACTCTGTTAGAGACGAAAGATGGTGGAAACACTTGGGCTCCGCGCTCAATTCCTTCTGCTGAAGAAGAGGATTTCAACTACAGATTCAATTCAATCAGCTTCAAAGGAAAAGAAGGATGGATCATCGGCAAACCCGCCATTTTGTTGTACACTTCCGACGCCGGAGAGAATTGGGACAGAATACCCTTGAGTGCTCAACTTCCCGGAGATATGGTATGGACCTTTGTTTCCCTCTTCAATTCCTCACATCAATGGAATTTTCCATAATTGAGAAAATGTTAGAGATGGTTTTGCTTCCTTTGAAGAGAGACAATTCTTGAATCTATGGTGTCGTTGCTGCTGGTATGCCAATGAGAATCAATGACAAGCTTGGTTATATACAATGTTAAAGGTGTATATAAAGGCTACGGGTGAAAAGAGTGCAGAGATGGTGACAGATGAAGGAGCTATATATCTTACTTCAAACAAGGGCTACAACTGGAGAGCCGCTGTTCAGGAAACTGTATCAGCTACCTTAAACAGGTTCATTTCATAGAACTGATATATGTATTTGTCCCTTCCATGTCTAGGACAGAATCTAGAGATTGATTATTGAATAGAAATTGATGAAGTTTCCATGTTCCTGCAGAACAGTGTCCAGTGGCATTAGTGGTGCGAGTTACTACACAGGCACCTTTAGTACGGTGAATCGTTCTCCAGATGGAAGATATGTCGCGGTTTCAAGCCGTGGTAACTTCTACCTGACATGGGAGCCTGGGCAGGTGAGACTCGATCATGCCATCTTGGTCATTCCATGTTATTGCACACTTATATAGATACCAAGAACTTGGGTGCCTTTCTCGAATCATTTTATCAGTTACCGAGGTTGTGATACACAGTGAGTTCAGAGCTTAGGATGGACATCGCCTGTCTTCTTGTCTGAACTGTGTGATTGTTTTGGTAAATGCAGCCTTTCTGGCAGCCGCATAACCGGGCAGTAGCGAGAAGAATACAGAGCATGGGATGGAGAGCTGATGGCGGGCTTTGGCTGCTTGTTCGAGGAGGTGGTCTTTATCTTAGCAAAGGAACTGGGGTGAGTCATTACTAACTAACAATGGGTGTCTCACCTTTTACACTACTCACCATTCACCTCCTCCGTTGATTGAATCCTCAGATCTCAGAAGAATTTGAAGAAGTTCCTGTACAGAGCCGAGGTTTCGGCATTCTTGATGTTGGATTTCGCTCACAGGTACTAAGATCCGTCACAAAGACATGTGAATCAGTAAAGGGTAAGACATGAAGAAGGGATTTGACACAAAATCGAATGCAGGAAGAAGCATGGGCGGCTGGAGGAAGTGGGATTCTGCTGAGAACAACAAACGGTGGAAAGTCGTGGAGCAGAGACAAGGCTGCTGATAACATTGCCGCCAATCTCTACTCTGTCAAGTGAGTTCTTTTTTTCCCAAGTGAATGGATGAAACGTTAACGTTAACATTAACGCCGTTTAACGATCTTGTGTGTTACAGATTCATAGATGATAAGACAGGGTTTGTGCTCGGAAACGACGGCGTTTTGCTCCGTTATGTAGGGTGATAGCCGTTGCCCCCAAAGGTGAACTGAACTTGTCAATCAACTGAGTTTGTGTATTTTTAAGTTTCTTGGCTCAATCTTTCTCGTGAAGCAGGCTGATGTAATTATTACAAAACTATTATTTATTTACATGGTGCCCAAAAAAAAATAACTTTTATTTTATTTTATTGTACTTTTTTTGCATAACAATTGTTCATTTGGTATTAATTTTCAAATATTTAATATTGAGTGTTTATAGTATTATATCAATGTTATTATTAGTATTATTGCTACTTCAGTTGTTTGTGTGAATTTCCCCCTAAAAGGAGCTGTTTTTATTTTTCAGAAGCGTAATTCAATTTTATTCTATTTTTGTAAGCCGTTAATCATTCGGTATCTTGTTCTTCCTCCCCTGCGAGGAGGGGCCGAGAGAGACCCCTCTCGTTCATTTTCCCGGAAAATCTGCCAAGAAAATTTCCATAGGGACCTCACAGAGGAAAATATTCGCCCTTCTAGTCCACGTTTTTTTTCTCACCCTCTCTTCTCGATCTCTCGTCGCTTGTTCGTCCGTTTCTTCCTCTTTCCCCGTATTCGTTTTTTCCCTTTTCGTCACTACCTCCGCCGTTCGATTTTTCCGGATTCCGGTGATTCTGATCAGATCTAAAGTAGGATATGTTTGATTTTCCCCGAGAGATGCTGATGGATCGAGAGAGGCGGTTTTTTGGTCTCAACGGGATTCACGATTATAGCTACGGAAAATTCCGCGATGAGAATGGTTATGGAATAGCTGATCGATCGGATGGTTACCGCGAGTGGAGTCCGTCGGGGTCATCTGCTTCGAAAATGTCGTGGATCCTGTCGCCTTCATCGTCTCCACCACCGTCGACTTCTTCTCCGCCGTTGCCTTCCTCCTCCTCCTCTTCCTCCTCTCCTGGTGCTGGATATATCGAACACCGGGTCTCCAAGTTCGACACCCTCTCCGGCATTGCCATAAAGTACGGTGTTGAGGTAATGTTTTTATCTCTGTTCGCAGAAGATATTTGATTTTCGACCACTGATGCGGAGTATATACTTAGACGTTTTGATAGAACAAGTGGTTTGGTTGAGGTGTTGAATTTTTTCGGAAGGCACTGGATGGTGAAGGTGAAGGATTCGACCAGAAGAAGTTAATCAATGGAGAGGAAAGTTTTGTAAAGTTGAACCCTTTTGATTGTATGGATGATTTTACTACAAAAGTTGCTGAAAACTCCAAATCATATCCTGACCTGGTTTTTTTTTTTTTTTTTTTTTTTTTGCTAATCATAATGGGTGTAGAGGTTAGGCCCACAACATACACACTTTATCATGGGCCTCCAAAATATATTTTTTTTTCAGTTTCCAAATTTATCTAGTTAATTTACGACTATTAAATTATTTTTGGAGCAAACTATATGTACTATATAATTTTGATTTTAAATATTATTTTGGAGAAGTAAAAATATACACATTATTTTATAACATGATCATCATGATTGATGGAGCGTATGGTCGCTTAATTGTAGTCACTTTTCTATCAAAAGTTTAGGATAATAAGAATTGGAAAAAATTAACAGTGATACTCTCCTTGCACCTGGTTTTTTTTTTTTTTTTTTTTGTTATGATCACAAAGGTTTGTCATTTCTGTGCTAAACCTGTTCAGCGACTATGTTATTTGAGCATTACTGAATTATGGATTTATACGCGGATTTGTTGAAATGTTGATTGTTCTAGTTTCCTCTGTTTGTTGTGCATTCCAATTTCTTGGTTACTGAGTCTGAGGTGGTGATTAATGTATTTTCTTTCCTCCTGCTGCAAAATATTTCTACTTCAGGTGGCAGACATAAAAAAGATGAATGGCCTGGTGACTGATCTTCAGATGTTTGCTCTCAAGACCCTCCGGATTCCATTACCTGGGAGGCATCCTCCCTCCCCTTGTTTGTCCAATGGTTCCTCAAATCCTGGGTATTTTAGCTTCTCAATTCTCTTTTCTCGTAGTTATAGCTCAATATGCCATTTCTTAAGTCTCCCATATGCCTGCTAGTTGTTGGAGTTTACTCCGTGAGCTAGCTCTCCCTTTTCTAGCGTTTAATATCTCATCGAGGTGTTACTTGTAAGTCCTCTACCGGTTTAATTCACTTTTCCAATGGCAGAACATTTGGCATTAGATGAACTTTGTTTTGGGTTGTACTAATGTTGTTTATTTCCCTCATTTATTTTAAGAATTATTAAGCGTAGATCAGCCATTCCTCTTCAATAGACAGTTTATGTTACAGAGAGGTTTCGGAACATACTACTGTCTTACAAAGGGTTTTCTACAACAAATTTAGAAGGAAAGAGACAGAAACCGAAAGTAGTATATGAAACCTTCTCAAGAGTTTCATCTTGTTTTTGTCTGAATGGATTTGGTGGGAGGACAGTCCTTGAACCTTGAAATCCCCTGCTGATGCTTTCTGTTTTGTGTTTTGGGGTGTAGTACATTTTCAAGTAATCCTCTATAGCCTAGACTACAACAACAACAACATTGCCTTAATCCCAAGTTTCCTCTATAGCCTAGACTAACATAAAAAAAACATCCCCTTACAGGGAGGGAAGTTATGAGCAGGCTTCACCATGCCACGAACAGACATCATCACTCTGTGATAACCAAGGCTTATTTGATTCCTTCCAGTCTTTGAGATTGAAATCTTCAGACAGGAGGAAGTTTTCCGCAGCAATGAGTTCATTGCAGGGATATTATGGGCTGAAACATGCCGAGGGAACCGTTTCTGAAGGTTTGGAGATGGCGGCGGTCCACAAGAAAGAAGCTTCCCGTCTCCTGAAAGATGATGATGATGGGCACCTTAGACCTTCCCCATCAACCAACCCTCCTCAAAACTACCACAGGAAGTCAAAAAGCTTAGTAAATGCCCTTCTGGCGGAAATGGGCGATGCGGAAACCAATTCCGATAAATGGAACGAGAAGAAGCTAATGAAAAGACGCCAAAAATCCGAGGCAGACTTCACTACTTCACAAACACCAGAAACGGTGTTGAAGGAGGACAGCAGCAGCAGCAGCAGCAGTGGTGGGTTCTCGGCTATATCCGGGAAAGGGGTAGCCTTGAGATCCAAAACCTCGAGCAGAAGTAATCTGTTAACAGATCATGAAAAGGGTACTGTAAACTTGATGGATGGTGATGCAGGAGAGAGGTTTTATGGTGTGAGGAAGTCAACAAGTGCCTTGAGTCTCCGAGAACAGGACAGTAACAACGGTAGCTCGTTGCAGTGGCCAACCGGAAAGTGGGGAATGAAGACTGAGATGCTAAGGCCGGCGGCCATCTTTGATGGGCTACCAATGCCCTTAACAGGTCGGAGGAATAAAGCAGCTGTTGACTAAAAGGTGAGTTTGGGCTCGTTCCATCACCATTTTTTTTCTTGAGTGGTGATTTATATACATTTTGAAAGCATGAAATCCATAGCTTAGCCGATGGGGAGTAGATAGAATGTAAAAGAAAAGAGAATAGCAGGGAGGGCAAAAGAATGGAAACCCAAGAGAGGAATTAGCAAAGAGTATTTACAAAATTCAAGATCTTTTATTTTTGACGTTTAATATCTAACCTCCGTGTTAAAATAGAAATATCCATTTTGACAAGTACAAATATCTCCATTATTACACTGCTATTAATTAAAATGACACCAACCAATACCAAAAGGCTGTTGGAACCTTTTCAGAGAAAAATCAAATGTATATATTTTTACAAGTACGCACCCTCATCACCATATAGAACTATTCATCATCACGACTTAAATTTAATTCTCCGAATGAAGATATATATATATATATATATATATCTTCTGTTTTGGACCCTAACCTATTCGATCATTTTACGTTATAAACATCTTTTCTAATGTCTTAAGAATATGTACCGAGTGCTCAAGACAACATAATAAAAAAAAAATGCAACAAAACTGTTTTAACCTTCACTTACAGTCTCTATCCCTAATACTCTGAAATCGTAAAGAGTGAATTGATGATCTACTGTCTAGAAGACAGCCTCACCTGGTCTGGTTTTAGAGGAAGAAAAGTCTACGGATGAAACCGGGATCAGATCGTTCAAGACGAGAGACTTCAGCTGATGATCCAATACACGAGCCTTCAAAGTCAGATGCAGAATTCTCAGCCAAGAGACTTCAAACCCTGTTTCATGTCACGAGGCCACAACTTGACCCATTTCAGCTTTTGCTTTGACGAAGCCATTAGAATTAAATTTTGTAAGAACAAATTGCAAATGTTGATGCCAAGCACAACATAGATGACAGGGTCATATGGTAACTAGTACCCATATTACCACATGACAGTATTCCGACCGATAAACTCAATGCCACCTAAATGCTGCCTCTGCTCAAGCAAGGTCCCCAATATCTAAAACCTCTAGGAAGATAAACGAGAAGATCTCAACCAAGTCCAAGACCATTTTTATAGAACTTATCATCATCCCTTACAAGCAAGCAACTCACGGATATATAATCGTAAAGTTGTTGGACAATGAGGAAGAGAGCAGCTGGAGAAGTAAAGAGCAAGAATTCGTGCAAACCATCTACCTCGAGATTTAGAAGACGATTGATGGGACCAAAGACTGCTTTACGAACATCCATCTGTGCACACGACCATCGTGGAACACCATGATCATAGCATTCCGGGTTTAGCAATACACCAAAGCCTGTAGCAAGACATTATTAATTTGCAACAGAAATTAATCAGTTTTTTTTTTTTTTTTGCTATTGAAGTTAAGACGAGAGCAGGAAACCAGATAAAGAACCTATCAGCAGGCATTTGAAGCCAACACAAAGAAAACGACAACTGAATGCAGATCAAGAAGCTAACTTTCATACTGCAAATTCTTCAGCAAATCGAACAAAAGCATAACACTCAAATCTTGATATACTCCTGCAAGTCCTCAGCAGTTTCTTCTCTAGACAGGGAACGAACAACCAACCTTAATGCAGATTCTAGTATGAAGAGGAAAACCTTTAGAAAGGGTACATGGCATAAGAAAAGACCTCATAGTAAGAACTTAACCGCCAGAGAGATAAATGCGAAAATAGATGCTACTCCAGAGAGATAAGCGCGAAAATAACAGAACAGTAAAAAGAAAACGGGGCTCCCTGGTGTGAGGTCCAGAAACTACAATCATAAATGGCATCAATTTTAGATCCCAGTATAAGATGGATTATGATGACAACGTGCTGATAAAAAGCACCAACCTCTTAGTCTAGAGCTATACCTCTTCCTCTAATCCAAAGATTTCTCCGGGACAACCACATCTAACTTCAGTGTTCTCAATGATAAATTCCAAAAATGCTGACAAAGGAATACCATATAATACTCTATTAAACATGGCCATTCGGAGTTTCCATGGAACCCTACTCACACAAGACAGGACCCTTGCCACCTGTCTAGGCTGCATGTTTTACGCTCATCACAAAATCATAATACCATTGAAGTCCCTGGTTGGCATTTCATAGTCCGCAGCAGACTTGCTCAAAAGACTGACAGAGTTCACACCTTCACTTGAAATAATGAAAAAAAAGCCCAATTTCTTTCTTAAAAAAAAATAGTTTGTACTTCTAACAAACTCTCCAAGAGCTCACAAAACTAACATAGAAAAAATTTTCCTTGTAACCATTAGAAACAAAGTTCGTTGCAGTTGGATACCTTATAGATCCGGTTAGCAGTCAAAAGACGTAGTTAGTCAAGACAATATGTTTTCAAGCAACCAAACAGGAGGAATCAGTACCTCATGTCCTCAACAAACTTCTTCAGATCAGCTGATGCAAAAGATAGTTACATGGAGATTCTTGTAAAATTAACTGAATGGTGTTGCAATCGTTTAGAAAGGCATGCTTCATATTCCTGCTAAAAGGCAGGGAGACCTGGGTTATACCCAGAAGCTTGAAAACAAACATGAAAAGAGAAAAGAACTTAAGACGAAATAATACAAGCTTGAATGCAAGTATTCTTTCTTAAAAAATATAGGTATATAGAAATAGAAGTCCTAACACAAGAGTTATTAGGTAGGAACCACATATAGGAGAAACTAAAGAGACACTACCAAATAAGACCAAAACGACCTCTCTCTGAATTTCCAGTCAAATCAAATGATCAACAAGCCACAAACTAACTATACATCTCTACTCCAGAGATCCAGAATCCAGCAAGCTCCAGCTTGTGCTAAACAGTCTGTCACATCTCATTGCCTCACCATTCACCCTACCCTAATAACTGAGTTCCTATTATTGCGTGAAAACTACATTGTTGATAGTGCCCTCTTTAAGATGGAATCTTGGAAGTCCACTAAAGGTAATTCAAGGCTACAAAGCTGACAAAAACCAAACTAAAAGGTTTGGTAGTAAATAATAAAAAATAATAAAAGCAAATGGTTTAATTTGAAGGTTAGCCTGTCAAAACAAGACAATATCCTAACATATTTTGGACTTCTTTTGGTCACAAAAAAAAATTGGACTTTAAAACTCAAAATTCAATTGACCAGAAAAAAGCTGTTGACACAGTATGGTTGCCATAATTACAGGAGCTGAGGCATAGAAATACTAACCCAGTTAGAAACAAGGAGCTATACGGTGAAGCAAATGATCCTGTGATACATTTGTTAGGGAAAATTACAATTTACAGTATCCTGGCAAGCGTTGCAGCAGCTTCAGAGCCTCCAGAAGTGGATATAACCAGGGAAAAAATTCCTCCATTGAAAGGGAAAGCCATCTAACTGGAACTGTTTGATGACAACACTGATAAAAGATCAATTCGTAAATTCAATGGTCAAGGGAAAAACAAAACGCGGACGGAACAAGCTAGTGAGAAAATTTACTTTGCGAGCAATGGATACTGATTGAGACATAATAATGGAGCTTACCTTATTGTCATGCCGGCCTCCACAAATTCACAGGAGGCATGTCTGGCCGGGACGGCAGCATCTGGGGAGCAGCATGACCTTGAATGTGCAAATTAAGAATTAAATATAGCAGGTTAGGCAAAAAAGTGCATGGATAATAGAGCTGCATCTCTAAACAGCTAAGAAGACAATCATTGATCGATAGTCTTACTCGGAATTGAAGGGCCAGCTTGTGCACTATTAGCAGCAGAAATCTGATATCCCATAGTACCAGAAGGTGGCCTCTCAGGAGGTGGCCGAAAGAAACCTGTCCAATAGCAAATGAGAATATCAACCTCAAACAATGGAGCCATAACACGCAAAAACGCTCGGGGAAGTCCCACAATCAAATGAAGCAGCACATTGTCACAAGTAGGTATATACAAGAATAAACTTTAAATAGATAAATGTCGATACATCTCAAGCATCTGCATACCATCTGCAACTCTAAGGGGGCCTGGAAGTGGATTTCTACCACTTATCCAGGGTCCATTATGATTATCTGCACCATGCCCACCTGATGGCATTCTCCATGGTTCCTCATTTATATACCTCCTCCCATCATCAGGTTGAGATGGGAAAGGGTAAGGATGAGGATAGGAGGGCTGAGGTTGTGATTGAACACCATGACTTGGAAAAGGAAAATGGTTAGATGGAGCTGCAGGCAGCTTCCTAACCATTGGTCTTTGAGCAGAAGGGGCAGATCCTGGTTGAAATCGTTGGCTTTGTGAAGAAGCTTCAGGATTGAAAAACATTTCACCCTTCCCGTATTCTAACTGCCTAGAGGAATTAAACGATGAGGGATCCCTGGAACCTCCAGCTGGAGCAAAACAAGGTGACCGCTGGACAAAAAGATCAGCTTTTGTAGCCCCCTCAACAAGACTTCCATGTGAAGTATTTCCAGACATTTGAACAATTTGATTACTCTGCACATGACAAGTCCATCAATACATATTAATAATAACATCGAAGAAGGATTTAAAAGGCAAATGTTAGAACAAAATAGAAGAAATCAGAGGGCTTACACTGGAAATGCTGCAACGGTCCTGCTGCACTGATGCCTGGTAGGATTGCTGCTGTAATGGATATGCTGGAGGAGGGAAAACAGGTTGAAGAGGTAAGGGAGGATGATTAGGCAAGGATGGTTGAGTTATTGATGACGGTGGGGGAGCTACAGTTTGTGCAGGTGGAGGAAGCACAGGTAGAGATGGTGGTGGAGGTGGAGGTGGCATCTGCGCTGGGGGAGGTGGAGGCGGAGGTGGCGGCAGCGGCGGCGGTGGCATCAGTGCTGGGGGAGGTGGGGGTGGTGGCGGCATCTGCGCAGGTGGGGGTGGCGGTGGTGGTGGTGGTGATGGTGGTGGAGATGATGGCGGT